ATCGGAATTGAACCATCCTGACAGCTTCCCGCTACTTGGTGGTGTGGATTGGTGTGGTGTCCCGTTTATCCTCTAGGAAGAGAAATTCAAAACCCCAAACCACCAATCAACCAAGGGTGATCCTTAGCTTCCCAGGGTATCCTCTTCCATTCCCAAATCCTGCCGATTTCCTATTGAGAACCACGCCAAGCACAAAACGGCCCCGGCTGCCATGGCTGAATTAGCTTACCCTTGGGGTTGGAAAGGAAAACCCAAATCCATCTGCACAAAATACAAGGGATCCACCAACCTCGGAATCTCCAAGTAAAGGACCATCGTCCTGTTCTTTGCCCCCATGGTGCAGAACCCACGGGGCCAGTTGTGAGCAACAAGATCCCAAGAATCCAATCAGGTTTGGGCAAAAACCGTCTGAATGAACAAAGACCAAGCATCAGACTCAGTTGCCATAAACTCACTTGCCCAAAGGACCCACACGTAAAAGGTTAACTCTTTTTGGGTCATGGCTGAACATTGACCAAAACTCGAAAACCACAAGGTCAAAAGGTCGGCCGTGAGCAACTGAGTACGAGCCACCAACCCAAAGTCAGATTGTGCCAATGGAAGGACCATAGCCGCAAGCCAAAACCTTTGCGACGCTATCAATTTGCCCAAATCACCCCCCCCCCCGGGCGACTTTGCGCCCTGCATCGACAACGTCAACGCGACGATGCGCCAACCAACCGTCGATACGAAAAAAGCTAAGTTCCGCCTTGGGCGGCTCCCGAAGGATCTTCTTCAGCTGAGGTGGCCTGCCATTGAATTGGTCTCTTTCCATTTGTTTAAGTCCCCCGAAAACACGTAAAAATAGATTCGCTTTCAAACCAACCGGAGAAACCAAACCACCCTCTTGAGCAAGGAGGAAGAGTTGGTAGCCTTTCGGTTTGCTTCTTGCTTTCCCAAGCCATCTAAACACGGCCCCGAAATAGAGGAATGGATCGGCGGAGGCGGGCTTGAGAGGTCGGTTTGACGGAACCAGATCCAAGCATCAGCACACCTCCTTTTCTGGACCTTTGCTCAGGGAATCTATTGGATTGGGTGTGTCTCTTTTTGAGGGTGCCCTTTTAAGTTTGGTTTAAGGGGGCTCTGCGTGTTTTGCTCAAACAACATTGCGAGCTACCTTTTGGCTATCAACAAATTGCCGTATTGAAGGTTCCACGAAAATTTACGCTTGCAATTCAGTGTTGTCAAATGGGAGCAAGGGTAAATCAAGGAATTGCACGGGCTTTGTCTTCGAACCTCACCCTCCCCAAGTTGGCAAGCAAAAGTTTACCCACCCTTGCGGGGCAGATCGGGGCCCCTGTTACTGGTTCCTTGCAGGAACAACTCACATCCCGTTGTCGAACCGGCGAACCTGTGGCTCAAATAGGAACTGCGTCCAGAACTCCATCCAAACAAATCCAAGCCCTTCCGACAACTCTCACCTAAGCTATCATTCCGCCTAACATGCGACCGCCACTTTCTTCTGGTCTCTTTTAGAGGAAGACAACCAAACCTATAAGGGACCTCTGCGCTGTGTGTGTGTCTGTGGAAGAATAAACCTCCCCGAAACCCTGCAGCCGAACAGCGTTGCGAAGTATCATGTTGCGAAGTTTCTTTTTGCGTTAACTTTTTTTGACCTATGGCCCGTGAAAACGTGACCGACTTGTTTGTGGACGACGAGAAAGGGAACCCCCCCTCCCCTTGTAAAAGGGGAAACATGCAAATGCACATGTGGCGTGTCAAAAGGACAGATTTACAGGATCACAAGCCGCGGTAGTAGATGTGGAGGCTAACCCATGGGCACTTCCTGAGAGTAAGTTAGCCGCCTCTTTTGCCTGGCCTCGTGCCATTGATAGCAACCCGCCCCCTTTGGATGTTTGTCAATGTCCCGCTCGGAAGAGCAAATGGGGAACAACTGATCACGCTCTTGTTCGCAAAGTTGATGGGAGTAACAGTGATCAGTGCCATCACACTTCAGGCATCGCTTGTAGGTCGTGACGTCTAGGGTGCGCACGCCAGCATTGTCCACTCTCTCCCCTTTTCTGGCAACGAGGCAAACTGCACAGACACTCCCACTTAAATCCACTTGGTCTGCCCGGCCCTCAACCCCACCCCCCTCCCCCGCCAATCGCAAATCCTCTTGGTGCGCCTGCAGAAAACAAAAGGCATAAACTGACTCATCTCAAACATATTGTTTCTGGGTTTAAAGTATGCGTTCCCATGGCGGTCTAACACCCTTCATTCGTTCTTGCTCAAATTGGGGGACCTCTTTTGGCATGGCTCTAACAGGAAGCCAAAAGGATGCGTTTCCCTTGCTGGCTCCGTACCCTTCTTGTTTTTCGTTCCTCCCCAGCTGAAAGCTACAGGCTTCGGTGTGGCTTAGAGCAGCTTTCCGGAACATCAACCACTAAAAAATCCAGTGAACATCAACCAATCCAACCACTATAATAGGTTCTAAAACGGGTGGTGAATCCCACCACAGCCAAATCCCGTTCAGGGGGCCCTACAAAGAAAGACACCCCCAGGACACCAAGCACGAAGCACGCCCCGGACCTGCCTGCGGGGCGCAACCTGAAGAAGCTCCCTGGCGGCTGGGTCTTCCGAACACCATTGAATATGCATAACATTTATATGATATATATATATATATATATGGATTATATGTGTACATATATGATTCTAGTGCTGGCTTCCCCATTCTTTCCAGGGATCCTTCTTTCTAGAAAACCTCCTGAAACCCAGGGAAACGGCCGGTGTTTGAAAAGAATGATGGTTGAAAAGAAAAATAGATGGCTTCCCCTGCAAAATGGATGACGTAAAACCAATCTAAACCAGTGGAACCCATCTGTTTCTCAGCAAAATAACCTCAAAAGGACACCCTATGCCCAAAATGATTGTTCCGTTTGGTTTCCCTTTGAGAAACCACAAAAACTAAAGGTACACTCGAAAAAAGACGAGCCACCTGTCTGGAAGTCCGGTACCACCAACCCTTCCATACTTTATTGGTGGGTGTGGAGATCTTAAAGCCGCGAAAATCCAAAATCCCGAGCTGCGCGGAATCACAGCTGCAAGCATCTGCCAACTTGGCGGACCTGGCTAAAAGTTTTAGCTTTAGCGGTTTGGAACCCCCCGCAACAACGTGTCTTGGGTCGTGTCATGGGCAGGGCTGCCGTCTAGGTGGTGGTAGGTGGTAGTTCAATGCTTGTAGGCTAGCTGTGCTGTATGGGAATCGCAGACAATATCGATTTATACTTGTATGCTTTACCAATATCGTTGACAAATCGGGGACCGTGAGCCAAGCGTGAATTTTGCGTGAACGACGGAGTTTACCCGTGAAAGACGGAGTCCTAGATCCAAATACCACAGCCTGCTGATTCGGTCTCCAACAATTACATGGCTACAAAGCCGTTTGCCCAGCTATGCGGCGCGGACAGCATGCGCGCATTGTACATTGGATTTTTCTGTGTGCAATGTGCATGGCAAGCGCGGACATCAAATCTCGGTCCTGGATGGCTGGCGGCTCCCTCCCAAGATAGGTCCACACATGGGCCTTTTTTGGTTTCATCGGTAACATGTTCTCTGGAGTCTAGGGAGCATTCCGAGGCCCTTCGAGTTGAACCTGGCGCCAAGGGAAAGAGACTTGGTTCTCACTTTCCTCTCTGGTGCTCAGGGAATGAGAAATGACCCTTACACATGCGGGAATCCCTGCGTTCATTCCCACATTCCCTGAGCACCAGCAAGTTCAGATTCGATCCCAACCAGCTGTTGATAAGAAGTGACACTTTCTCGCACAAAATACACTAGGGAAGAAACACGTCCCATTGGTTGTTGCCATATAGGGCTTGCTTTCAAGGGAAAGGCAAAGAAACCACGTGTTTTGAGGTTGCAAGCTAAGCCACAGTGCGAGCCTGTAGATCGCGGACACAGACTCCGTCAGCTCCGTTTCCAACTCAGCGCTGCCACACATGTAAGTTCTCTCAAAATAGGAAACCCTGTCAGTGAAGGAAGCTGGGGTAAACCTTTTGATGGGAAAACGAGGAGACTTCCGCAAAGCGTAGGAGCTCTCCTGTGGTTTCTGCATTTCCATACAGGCTGAACCCAAAATGGCTGGTTTATTTTAAAGCAACGTCACAAAGGGTACCAATCGACAACAAACAAACCCAATATGCAGGCGCAAACAGGGTGGTGTTCGATCAATGCTCTGACGCTTCTTCACAGCATGCACGTCCCAAGGTTTGTCAAGGGAATGCTCAGACATGCAGAACAGCTTCTTGCGACAACTACCAGAGGTTATCTTTAGTTTGAGGGGCAGGGTACTAAGTAGGTGGTGAGAAACCATGGTTTTGCAACCACTGACCATGGTACATGAAAGATTGAATGCTGATTGGCAGCATGTTCCACACAATCGAGTGTCCTAAACACGCGCATTGACATCCGCCTCCTCATTCGGCAGTCACAATGACATCAAAGACCTTTTGCATCTCCTTTCTCCCAAAACAAGTGTGGCTAATGAACTAAAAGAAGTGGCTTGAAGAAGTGGCTTGAAGGGGCAGGGGTTCATCTTTTAACACATGCTCACCAGGGCGTTTCCCAAAGAGCGGTTGGTACTCAAACGGAAACCCAAAGGAAACGGTTGCCAAACTTCCATTTTGCAGTGCTTCCGGTTACCTGTATAGTTGGTAACCAGCTTGGTTACCTACTGTATTGGTAGCTGGCCAGTAGTTCCCAGAACCACAAGAAAGGCTACACAATAGAGGGCAGAACTGTGAAACAGAGTGCCGGAACTGTCAAGTAGGCAAGTGGAACTGTGACTTGGGAGGCCGGAACCGCGTTTGCTTAAGTCTCCTGCAAAAAAATAAAACAATCCGCAGTGCACACGGGGGAACATTCACAAAAACCACAATCAAATATGACCATTCCAGCAGATGGGGGATAGATTCCCTTTAAAGACCACGGGAAAAAACAAAACGCAGCTGACCATTTCAACTCCATTCAAAGGCATCGGATGTCTTGACCGACTCCGCTGGGCTTTTGGCGAAGAGCGCGGTCTTGCCGCAGATGCGCAGCGCGCCCTGGAGCTCCGGGTGCGCAAGGATCCCAATTTGCTCGGTGACCCAAAGGGGGATGGTTTTTCTGCGGAGAAAAAACGGGGTTCAGCTTCCCTCTTTTTGGATTGGATTGGTGGTTGGAAGGCGCTTTTTTTGGGGGGGAGGGCGTTTCTTTCTTTCTCTTTTTTTTTTTTGGGGGGGGGGGGGGACATTCTTTGCTGGTTTACTATGGGTTTATGGATGGTTTACAACTGGTTTACGGATGGGTTCGCCATGGTTTACTATTGGTTTACTATGGGTTTATGGTCGGATATACTATGGGTTTGTGATTGGTTTACTATGGGTTTATGGTTGGATATACTATGGGTTTACGGTTGGTTTACTCGGTTCAGCTTCCCTCTGGTTTGGATTGGTGGTTTGGTGGTTAAGGACTGTTTTCCCTCTACAAGGAATAGGGGGTTCAAGGCCCAAAACCACCAATGCAAAACACCCATTGGGGGGATACCTGAAGGGTTGCCGCTAAACAACTGGGGGATCTAAGAAAGCATGGTTGATGAGTCGGGTGGTCCCAATTCAGCCGCGGTTGTCTCCGAGGTTGATTCAATGCGGCGGGTTGAACTTTCGATACACGCAAAATCAGGAGCGCAAAAGCTTACCCCCTGGGGAAGTTAATCTTTTACAGACATATAGCCCATGTTACCCAAAACGTTGAAAAGTTGTGTTTTTAAGAGGTAAGAAAGAAATTCTCTCTGCCCTTGAAACATGCGCCACATTCATGGGTGAGCACAGTCGAAAAGTGTGTAGGGAACCTCAAGTATTCCCACCATGTCGGGCCCATTTTGTGTGAAGTTTATAGGGGACCTTTTGGTGGACATCAGAAAAAGGTAGGGATCCATGTCCACCAACCACTTCAAGGTGGTTCCAACTCTTTAAAAGATCAATTGCCACAACCAGCACTAGTCCAATTGTTTATCTTCTAGTCTGGCTATTGGGAGCATGTGGAACATGAGCACGCTTTGTGGGCCATGGTTTATGTGGGGCCCGCCTTTAAAAGGGGTCCAAAAAGGCGTCCATATTTTTGACAACCCAACATGTGTGTTCCAAAGGTCGGACTGACCCAAGCTTCTCTAGAGGACCCCAGCGTCAGAGTTCGGAAAGGGGGATCGAGTCCTGGCCTGCAGGAGCCGGCGGGTGTACTTCTGGAAGAGCGGGTTCAGCGCCCAATGCAGCAGCCGCACGTGGCCCTCGCGACGAATCCGTTGGACAAATCTAAGAAACCAACAGGAAGTGCTATAGGAAACCCCTGATTTTGGTGGGGATTTGGCTATAGCTTCCTGTAAAAAACAAACAAACTGTAGCTATAGTTTCTATGAACAAACGAGCAAGCGGGGATACGGAGTCCCTCGGCGCCATTTCCCAGATCAAACTGAGTCAAGGTGCATTTTGGGGAATCCTCCCGTATCCCTGGCTCCCCCTGTATCCCTGCTGCTTGGCTTCCCTGATGCGCATCGCAAGGGGCGCCCGTGAACCCCGCTCCATCGGTCCCAGGACCTGAAACGTCGCTCAAGTCAGGCCCTGAACGGGCTCATTTTTACGGCGTCCGATCGAGAGCGAAGGACAATGTGTGTAGCATCCCTCAACCCATGTCTTCGAACCCATTTATTCGAACCCAGGGTCTACCCGAATTGCTAGGTCCCACTGTGGATGGACGAAATCCATTTCGCATCACCTGAGGAGCCATAGAATGATGATTCCCCTGTAAATTCCCAACGAACAGTGTTTTTTTCATGGTTTTAAAGCGGTGCAGGATTTCGTCCATCCACAGTAGTGAAGTGATTCCAACTTTGAGGGGTTATCAATACAGCTTTTTCAGATGGAGTCCTTTCCTCACTTCCTGGCCTGAACCAAACTGTTCACCACAAAAACGGTCACAGCAAGTGACAAAAGTCCCTGAACTCGAGTGAGTGTTACACCAATTACACCAGAGGATACTCCTTGGACGCAGTTCAAGGGGAAGAACTCCGAGCACAAGACCCATCCAACCCTTGCGTAACAACTATATGCTTGTTACCAGAAGGGTGCGCCTCAACATAGGAATCGGACCCAAGACATGTTGGTCGGCCTTCTTTTTGGCTTCCGGTTAAAACCCACCCGTGTCCCACAAAAGGTGGCCTCAAAACACAACAAACGCATATGTTTTGGGCACATGTCCACATCTCGACGCCGGGCAGCGTTTCACTTGTTTCCCCTCCATCTGGGCAATACAACTCGCTTCTGAACAAGTGGATTTGGCTCAAAAAACCGGTACCAAATTGGAACCCTGGTAAGTGGAAACATGGACCAAAACCTGCGTAACCCCCCCCCCCCCCCGTTTAATTTTGAGCCACACCCAAGCGGATGGGGCCTTTCCAAGAAGTCGATTTCCCACGGCCTGTCCAAAAAGTGACTCAAGTCCAGCCCTTCAGGAACTGAGACAATCCGCCCCATCCTACATCCAACTAATGCGAGCAACCAGGATCCATGGCGAAACGAAAGACGCACCCATTGAACGCACAGATCTGGACGCCCTCAAGTGCATCCTACATCCAGCTAATGCCAGCACATGGCGAAAGGAAAGAAGCACCCACACAAACATCCCCTCGAATGGGTATGGGTCAAAACTGAACCACCAGGAGTTAGACCGCAGGTTTGAATGTCCATTTTTCCATTTAACAGCTACGTCCTCCAGTGTAGAGAGGCTGGAATAAGGGTACCAACTCTGTTTTTTCTGTAGTCTAGTTTAGTAGACGAAAACCCTCCCAACCCAAAAAGTGGGTGAGAAATTGAGAAAGTTGACACCTAGCTGGGGGACCTAGATATATTTCTGTCTGACAAATCAGATGATCAGAAAAAAAACACCCAGGGAAATATTTGGGAAGCCATGCGTTCGGCGCGCCTTGTTGGCGAAGCCCCCGGTCTCGTGGTGCTCCACCAAGAGGTAGTCGTCCAGGTGGTAGCAGCATCGTAACCTCGGGGTTCTGAGATCAAACGAAGTGGGGGGGGGGGGAATTATTCGTTCCTTTCATTTTGTTTGTTATTTCTTTCTCGTTTTTTTTTTTTCTTTTTAGTATTATTATTATGTATTTGTGTGTTAAGTTATTTCTTCTTTTATAATTTCTTTGTTTTCCAATTTGTTTCTTTCTTTATTTATTTGTTTTCTTTCTTTCCTTCTTTCTTTCTAGGCATATGGAGACTTCCGTGCCAGAAACCACGGCCATGTTGCCGAGGATATTGCGGGATTGGAGGCGGCAGCGCGGGGTGTGGGGAATTAGGACCCCAGAGAAAAACAGAAAATATGTTTTTTGCCGGGTGAATTAGTGGATAACGTCGAGGTTCTGAGGTGAAAGAAGTGGAGGGAATGAGGACCCCGGCAAAAAACAAATTATGTTTGGCCTGGTGAGTGGAAAACAAAGGGGACCCCCCCCAAAAAAAAGAACAAAGAAAAAGTTAGTGGAAAACCTAAAGGGGACCCGCACAAAACACAAAAACAACAAAAAGGGGAGCGAATTCTGGGGAAGAAACAAAGGGCAGTGGGGGGAACGTCGGTATATCCGTTTCCAGGCTGCAAGTGGTAAGAGGTCGACGTCAAAGCAGGGGTTGCTCCGAGCCTCATGACCAAACCTCAAAGCTCGGAAATGATGATGGGGTTCCGTTGGCTTCCATTCGTTCGGTGAGGCTCACAAAAAAGTGGTACCAACATGGCACCAAAGATCGCAAATGGTTGAGCTTCCCTTTCGTTCCGACACATTTCGGCGCGGGAACAGAGAGACCCAAAATCGAGCCCTGGCAAATGGAAGGACATTCCAACCTGCGGCCCAACTGGTGGCGATTTATCTCTCGAGGGAATTTGGACAGCCGTGGGTGTCAGGTGGGGACTTCGCCCCAAGGAAAGCCACCGGCGGGTTTTGTTGGGTATCCATGAAGCTCCATACCGAGATCCCCGAGATCCCCGAGACTGAGCACCCTAAAAAAAAAAAAAAAAAAAAACCTCCGGGTTCTACCCATTCTCGGCGAAATCTGCGAAGCCCGGCTGAAAAGTGACTCACTTTTAGTGGTTTAGTGCGGAAAACCCATGAGTTGGCAAAGAGCCAAAGTCCGAACAGCCAAGCAAAATGCACCAAAGTAACATGGTTGTAAAGGTTTATACATGTGTCTTCTTTTGAGAGCACCCCTTTGTGGGGGGGGAAATCTAATCTTTGGAAAAGCCATGTGTCAGCCCCAAAGGTCTCTCCGGCCTCGCCAAAGACCAGCCATGCTGTCTTTTTCTGGGAGAACCCCCATGGCTCGGTTTTCCTTTTGGTCTTCCTTTGCACCCAACAAAAAGGGTAATTACCGCAACAAAAAGACGAGCCACCCATCTGACCCCCACACACACCCACCCATCTGCTAGCCATTCAAAGAAAACAAGGGTACCTGCAAAAAGGACACCCATCTGACCTCCCACAAACCCGTTCAAAAAAGAAAAAACCAACAAGTACCTACAAAAAGGACACCCAACTGACCCCCGGCAAACCCAATCGAACCACGGCAGCAAGTTCTGCTTACCCACGACCCGCGTCCGGCAATCCCACCTCTCCACCGCATCAGGGGACGGCAGCTGGAGCCTCGCTAGACCGCGCGATTGAGGAGCCGGACACGGGGCGCATGGGGTATGCACTTTGAAGCCCGAAAAAACAGGTTGCGTGTTTGTTTCTTTCTTTTTTTCCGGTATTCCAAACTCACACGTGACACGTGTTCTCGATGTGGTTGCAACATGACCAACGTGATTTTCGAGTCCGTGGTGAGTCTTGACTCATGGCTTCCCTACCCTCAAAAACTAAAGCAAAATAGACAACTCAGCCCCTTGAAACCTGCAAGTCGAAAGGGCCCTTCGTGAGAAAAATGGAAAACTGAGTCATCTAGGGATACCTTCCCCATTCTTTCCAGGGATCCTTCTTTTCACAATAATGGTTGACTTCTAGGGGTTGATTCCCCATTCTTTTCAACCATCGTTCTTTTCAAAAACCAGCTGGTTCCCCTTTGTTTTTGATGGTTTCCCGAAATGGGGGGGGGTCTCTTTCTGCGGGTACTCTGTTCTTCGGGGGGGGGGGGGGGGCAAAACATGACACGCCCATTTGCTCGTCCCCACACACTTCACTCACCTTAAATATGGAATCCTGCAAGCAGCCGTCATGAGGTCGCACAAATCCGGTAGGTGAGATTCTATGCGCCCAAACGTCAGGAATTCCCAGGCTTGCTATGTTCAGCTGGTAGCTTTGCATTTGGCCCTTTTCCTTCTTTGCTGATCATCAGTTTGAAGATATGGGCTTGTGCAATTTTGAGGGTACCCCTTTTGGCGTTGTGAAGGAAAAGCAAGGGAAACCACCCATGCGAGAGATTCCCCGATTTTGAGACACACCCGTGTATCGCATGGGCTTGTAAGGCGGGCTTTCTTTTGGCTTCCTGTACAACCAGCCAAACGGGTGTGACCCCCAACAAATCACGGTTGCTTTCTGCTCCCCTGCTGAAAGTTTAACTTTAACTGGTTTAATGGAAACCCCATGAGTTGGCAAAAAGTTAAAGTCCTAACAGCCAAGCACATTGCGCCAAAGAAATAGCTTTCACGCCCATGCAAACTAATATCAGCTTTGCCGGTCAAAACTACAACGAAGAAACCTCAAGGCCTGGCCATGCAAAGTGGTTGGAATCTAAATCTTTCAGCTGAAAGCTTTGGCAGCCTTCGGCCGGGCAGGGGCTCTTTTTTTCTGGAACCTACTGGGGCAATGCAAGGATTGTGTTTCCTAGGTCCTCCAGCACAATAAGTTGGTACCGTCTTTTTTGTGTAGTCTGTTTTAGTAGGGGAACCCTCCCCACCAAAAAAGTTGGGTTAAAAGAGCGGGCACCTAGCTGGGGGACCTAGTTTCCAATTGCTTCAGCGGATGTGTTTTCTGATTTCAATTTGGACATGGCCGAGAAGTCTGAGATGTAAGCCTCAATCACTCAGTGAAGCCGCCGCTGTTGCCGTCCCTTGCATTGCATTACTTTGGACACCATTCCTCCTAACATGGCACTTGTGGGGAGGTGCCTGGAAGAGTATGTCCCTTCTCAGGTGCTTAGATTGGACAAGCGAACAAGCGGGGATACAGAGGGAGCGGGGATATGGGGGGGATTCCCTTGGTGCATCAAAATTTTTTTGTCCCGTCTCCCTGGTTCCCCCTGTATCCCTGCTAGTTGATTTCCCTGATTAGAGGGAGGGAAGGTACCTTTTTTTCCCAGGAGCTGGTCTCAGTCTGATTCGCTGCCCATGCTGCAGCGCACCGCAAAGACATGTTGGTTTCCAGTCTTGGTCCAGATTGGTGTAGACATGGCCCCACCAGTGGATAGAAGTGAGTATGAGCTCGCCTCAAAATGAGTTTGACTCCGGTGCTTGCACCAGAAATGAACGTAAATTACTACAACTAGGTCCTCCAGTAGAGAGGTTAGAATAAGGGTACCAACTTTTTTCTGTCGTCTATTTTAGTAGACGAAAACCCTCCCAACCAAAAAAGGGGTGAGAAAGGGCACTACTGGAAGACCTAGATAAGACACCCACTTCAACAGCCTCCGGCTTTGGAAACTCCTCTGAGGCTCTGGCACGATGAGACCAACTGCCTGTCTCTCCGACTCCCAGCGAAGGGCTTGGCCAGGGCTCTGATTGAACTTGGTTCCAAAACCCGCATGGAGGGGTCTGAAAATACCTAGGTCCTCCAGTGGAGAGGTTAGAAAAAGGGTACCAACTTTTTTCTGTAGTCCATTTTAGTAGGGGAACCCTCCCCCCAAAAAAGGGTAAAAGGGCACTGCTGGGGGACCTAGAATACAGTCGGTGCGAGAAAACGAGAAAGGGCACCCTTTTCAGGTCGCTTGAAGGGAGACCAAATGGAACAACACAGACACCTGCATGTTTTGGGGAGTCGTTCTGTTGCACGACCAGCCTATGTATGTGCCCATAACTCAAATGCCGGGCGACGCAAATACGCTCGCCCCGGAAAGAATTCAACGAGCGGTTGGCCACCCGGCAAAAGTTGAAAGTTGAATGATCCTGTTCAGTGCCTAGGTCCTCCAGTGGAGAGCTTAGAACACGGGTACCAACTTTTTTCTGTAGTTTAGTTTAGTAGGGGAACCCTTCCCCAGAGCAAAGGGTAAAGGGGCACTGCTGGGGGACCTTGCTGCTGGCTTGCAACCATCAAGTCATTCCTTGGCGATTCCCGATTCGTGCTTGTAGGGTTGCGGACAGTTACCTTGCGTCTTCTGTGCCATCTTGACTTGAGTCGAGACTCAAAAAACAATTAGACAAACTCCACACGCAGATATGCAAACTCTCACCAAAGCGTGTTATCTGCAATCTCAACCCTCAAAACGTGCGTGTCCTCGAAAGCTGTAGAACCATTTTCCAAGTTGGACATTGGAAACGTGTATGGTTCATCTTTAGTTCTTCTTCCCATAGTCATACTGTGGATGGACAAAATCCTGCACTACCTAAGAAACCGTGGTTGAAACCGCGGTTTGTTGGTATGTTGCAGGGGGAATCGATTCATTTCAGGGTGTCTGAACGGTGCGAAAGGCATCAGCGGTTTCCAAGCAGAGCTCTTCCAACGGGAGCCGGCCACTTCCTCTCAGGCGCCTGTGAGTCGAACTCTACCACGAAGACTTCCATTTCGCTGGCGCTTCGCTCCTGCGAAAGGCAGCGAAGCCCAGGCGGCCACCCAGCCACCCCCTCGCATGTTGACCGCGGATTCATGAACCAAAAGATGTTGACCACGAATTTATAAACCAAAACATGTTCACCCCCAGATTTGTTTAAGCATCCTACTCAGGGGGATGTTCCCATAAAGCGGTCTGAAACACAACATGTCAATCCTAACAGGGTGCTTTCCCCTAAAGTTCTCTGAATCCAACCACGTTCCACCAAGGGACTCCGGGCCCATTTAATGAACTGGGGTTGATGAACTTCCGGGGCTTCCAGTACCTTTGACCCGTGTTCAAACACTATCCTTCTTCCAAGAACCCCCATTGGGGCCAGCCTTAGATCCTCCTAGGAGATTGGCTGCTCGCTGAATTTCAGAAAGGAAACGCAAAGGAAAACCGAGACGACAAGAAGGGCTAAAAGGTAAGTTAAGCCTGACAATGAAAGGAATGCCAAGTTCTCTCCATCGGTTCCTTCATTACAGTTTATCAGAGAGGGCTCCTCATGCAATGGGAGCATTAAGGTAACATGGGTATATATATATATATATGTGTAGATATCAACTTGTGGGCGTGTCTTGACATGGGGGACACCAAACAGCTTCCTTTAAAACCAATTCCAAATGGGGTAGTTTTGAGTGGGGGCATGGAGCACCTTCCCAAGAACCAATCCTTAGGGTTGGGGGCTTCAGCCTGAAGTACAGCCAAGGCCAAATAAGACCAAACAGGGCAGCTGAAGTGTTGCGAGGGGGGGGGGGGGAACTTTTTGTGGCAGGAACTTGGGTGACTCTTTTTATGAGGCACCCATTCTTGGGAGGTCCAAATCCCAAAAGGCCTACGCCCCACTTTCTCCACTCCTGCAGGAACCGCTTGCACTGCGCGACAATCTCCTGGCGATCCCCCCGAATCAGCTCGAAGGCAGCCCGGCTCAAGAGCAGGGCCGTCCACGAGTACAACTCACTTGCCCAGAGCTGGGAAATTGAACAAACTGGGAAAACCAAAAGGTCAAAGGTCCGCTTTGGAGAACTGAGACAACTACGGAGGTGTCTCTTTTTGAGGGTACCCTTTTGGGGGTGGCTGAAAAAGGGGGAAACAACCAGGAAAACCACAACCACCATCTGTTGGTCCAAAAGAAAAAGCGGACAAACCCTATCTCATCCAAAGCTACATCCGCCAATGGATTTGGTCCACCGCTCTTGCGTCCCAAATGGTGCCGTGGGATCCTTGGGCCTTTTGATGGCACGCTGAGACTTGTTTGGTTCCAAGGCTCAGTCGCCCCAGATGGGACCCAGAAATAAAAGGTGATCACCTCTTGGGTACGCTATGACTAAACATGGACCAAAATTGAGAAACAAAAAGGTCAAAAGGTCGGCTTTGGACAACTGAGAAGGTGATTACCAAAAGGTCTCGCTACATATTCGCCCCATGCACCGTAGCAGAACTGCAAACATCGAAAACCAGCATGGAGCATTTCCGAACGCGGCTCGAGTTTGCTTCCAAACTAGCGAAAACCCGGAAAAGGCAAGGTCGGAAGCACCCTGAAAGTTGGATGTCAAAAGAACCCTAACTCTAAGTTGGTAAGTTGGTACCCTGGCAGGTGAAGAAACCCCAAATGGCTAACCACTTCCTAACTTGGCGACTCGAACCTCCGAGTAGCACAGAACTGACAAACGGCGCAACGCCCGGATGTTTGTGTGAAGCACATCCTATGTCCACGGCTGCGAAGTTCACATGTAGATGGGGAGTAGCAGGGATCCTTACATGCAAAACACCTGAACATTGCAACTTGTAAATGGTGGTGTCCAACTTTAGTTTGGTGTTGAAAAAAGCAACATGTAACTCAAATGGGTGGGCAAAATGAATTTCTTTTAAGGAGCCCTGAGTAGGGTCCCACCCATTTTTCGGGAAATCCCCATTCGGAAGTCATGGCCACAAGGTGCCAAGGGACCGGTAGGGAAGGGCTCCGCTCAATGCGCACAACACGTGGCTTGCCATGGAGACAGATGAGCCGGACAAGAATATGTTCGCATTCGCTTGGTCTTTTCTCTGGCCACATCATTTTATCAAAGTCAACCCCCAAAGTAGATTCATGAGGAAAAAACACAACAACAAACCTCAGTTTCTGACTTTGATAACTCAAAGTCAACCCCGAAAGTAGCTTCAGGGGAAACAACCTCAGTTTCTGACTTTGATAACCCCCAGGTTTCCGTCAACGCAATGACGGCAGTGCATGAGTTCCGACATCTCCGACAGCTGGGAACCGGGGCAAAGGTTTCCCAGAGTGTCTCTTGGCGTTTGAGGCGCAAAAAGCGGCGCTTCAGCTTCTCCTTATAACTTCCATTTGCGTTGTCCCCTGGGAAAACAAATGCGTCACGCGTCTGGAAAAAAAAAAAACGTAAAAAACAAGAAGTATATATAGATAGATTCCCTTTAAAACCAACAGGGAAAATACGCATTTTAAGCAAGTGAAAGATAAGGCACTTGAACCCGGGCATACTAGAATCCGAAAAGCCCCAAACAAAAAACAGTGCGTTCGTCCCCTTAATAATTGTACAAATATGCGCAGGCGGCATCCCTCAACACGGCAACCCGCGGAACCATTCCGGAACCCTGCCCAAAGCTGCTCCGAACCACTCCAGAGAATATCTGGGCCTATCGACCCCATAGCTTTCAGCTGTCAAACAAGGTGTCTGCAAAACAACCTGTAAAGACTCATGAGGGACCTACGGACCATCCGAAATTGCTGTCTGTACATTCGAATGGACATTTCAGTGCACGCAAAGCCCTTTTCTCAGGTACCTCATCATATATGACCTTGGTTGACTTAGGTTTGCTTAATACAGAGTTGGTTTAGACTTGATGGTTCAGATTGGCTTAGAATGTTACTTTGGTATTAGGCACGGGGTTGTGAGAAAAACACTTGTGGATTGGGTCGCAAGTGTCTAACAAATGTGTTCGAGGATACTGCACACATTGTGGTGCTTTGGTTCAAACGGGAACCCATTTGTTAGAACCTCAGTTCTTGTATGGCCAAAAATTTCAAACCTTTCGTTTGCCACTAAACTGCCATAAACGTCTATGAAAACTGGTCAAGTGGGGAACCGGTTTGAAACCTCCATTTGCTTAAGTCCCCTGCAAAAATCACACAAACAATTTGTGATAGGTTCCCTTTCAAACCAACAGGGCAAAATCATAAATACAAAAAACACACAACTCTTACGCAAATGGAAGGAAAGGGTCAAACGCCACAACCGTAACAAAGAGTTGCCGCCTGACGTGACTCAAAGATCTCCAGGAGAGGGTCCAGCTGCTCCAGCAAATGTGGCTTCAGATAGGTCACCTGCTGGACAACTTGCACAAACGGCCTTTTTCTTGACGCTTGCAAAGCCGCAAAGAACAGGTCAACCTTCTTTTGGGCCATGACACCACAATTCGCCCACATCACGGTTCTTACCCCAACAACTGGAAGCATTGGGGGTCATTCCCTACCTATGGCAGCAAGTACTTGTCAATGTAGAAGTCACGGGCCGGTCCCGCAGCCAAAATGGAGAACCCCGCAGCCTCTCTCAAGCCGCCCAACTGTTTGACGTGTTCAAAGCAAGCCGCCCAACGGAGCGTACCTCGGGGGTCGAAAGCAAGTTGCTAGAAAACGAACTGGGGGTTGATGAAGAGGTGCTTTTCATGGGATGATTAAGCTGGAAACCACTAAAAACATATATTTCCCATTAATTGGGAAAAGTTACCCATGGTCATTTGGTGCCAGGAGTGTTGATCCACCCCCAACTGACTCTTTGTTTTGTTTCCTTTTGGGGATTGCGCAGCAGGAGGCATGGGAGTAAAATTGCAACTGGAAGCACTGGGCAGGTACTTCAAACAAAAACGTTGAAGTTACTCAAATCCAGGCTTCAAGGCAATGTTTCAAATATCAAGGAAAACACATGCTTCCATTTGCCTAAGTCCCCCGGAAAAAAAGTCAGCATTCCAGTAGTGATAGATTCCCTGTAAAAAACAAAACTTCTCAAAATCAAACATGTTCATTTCAGCAAATGGAAGCATGTAATTCCTACTTCCCTCTAAGCGATTCCACCCCTTTCAGCTTCGATTCGCTTTTTTTCCTAGGTCCTCCAGTAGAGAGGTTAGAATAAGTTGGCACCAACTTTTTTTCTGTAGTCTATCTTAGTAGCGGAAAACCCTCCCTCCCCCAAAAAAGGGGTGAGAGAGTTGGCACCAATCGCTGGGTGACCTCTCCGCGGCCGCTTCGCCGCGGTTGGCTTCGACGCCGGCGACGCCTTGGGGGGGCCCATCAGCGAGGCGCGGTGGATCAGGTACAGCACGTGGCCGAAGGTGTTCTGCGGCTGGGGCGGTACGATGCTGAACCTCGGGAGAAAAAAAAGCGCCGGAGGTTTAAAAAAAGGCCGAATGGAAACACGAAGACCGAAGACGTGCGTCCCAAAAAGTGGCTTGCTGCTTTTTGTCTGTGCCTTGATGTGTTTTAGCTGGGAACACCCCCCTTCCCTCGTTTAGTGCGTTTTTTTTCAGGCAACCAGAAGGAGACCACCCACTTTGGGAAAACATGCACGGGCCTTTGAGTGCCGTGTTTCCTTTAGCCATTGTGTCATGGTTAATTTACCCATGGGGTCCATACATTCAGCTTGTCTGAGGCTTATCCCAGAGATTCCAACGCTAGGTGCACAGCCTCGCTGTCAAACACATCTCCAGACTGCGATGCAACTGGAATCATTGGGGCTTCCAACACTTGCTATCCAATGAGACGTGGTCAAATTGCCTGCATTTGCTGTTAGAAACATGGTTTCCCTGCTCGGCACTTGAAATGGCATTGCTGACTAAACAGCGGAAAGTCTTTCCGAAGCACCTCAGCAACATGTTGAGTGTGTCCGTCATGGACCTCCCCCATGGGTGGGGGGGGGGGTCTATCTTTGGATTACAAGCCAGCCAATTCAGGCGGGTGTCATAGGCTAGGCAATAGCCCCTCCGGAGAGCTCCAAAAGAGTCTATACCAGTGAGACATCTCTCACTGCCTATGAGGCCCGTTCAGTTTCAAATAAAACCAGCGCGCCAACCATTCAAAGAACCGGCTAGCTCTGATGCTTCCCTTGCAAGCCACTAGGGGTAACCAGTTCTATTGAAAGTGTTGGATGTCAAATCCTGGGTCTGAAAAAACGAAAACTACAAATCCAGTTTTGACGTCCTCTTGGGAAATCAAACATGTTCTTGGCCAGAGTTAGACTCCAAACAGGCAACTTGTTGCCGGTCGAAAGGGAAAAGGAAGGACACGTTGAATTCAAGGGCAAGGTATTCTAGTTAACCCATTGAAGTCCCCTTGTCATTTTCCTCTTGAAACAAATGACATGTTGTTAGCCAAACTTGGACCACTAGCACAAAAACTGTTTGCTAGCTGAAAGGGAAAATAAAGGAAACCCAAAAGGGCAGACAGCGAAAAGTTTACAGTAGATACTCATCCCTCTGATTGAATACATGAAATACTATGGTTGCTATTTGGGAGTGTGTTTTTGTTGGGGTACCCATTCGCCAGGGTGTAAATGCACACAAAGGACAATTTGGGGGTGGTTCTTTTTGACATTCTCATTTCACCACCGAAACCATGGGAGTGATCGCACCGGGCTTCCCGGGCGCGTTCAGCAAGGGCGTGTTGTGCGCAGTGTGGGGCTGCGTGACGATGCAGTAGTCCTGCGGTGCTCCAAGATTTTCGAAACATGAACCAGCAAAACCAAGCTTTGCTCGCACTCAACAAGTGGATTGCCCTACGTGCGGTTTGGGAGGAATGGGAGCCGAAAGGCGTTGTTTTCTCCTTAGGGAACTTCCGCTGGCTTATCCGGAGTTGAACAAGGGCAGGCCGGAACAAGAACTTCTCAGCCCTCGCGAAGCGCGACTTTGAAGCCTCCTATGCATGAAATTAAGCTTCTGCCTGGAGTCTCCTTCCGACCCTTAAAACATGGGTCCATGACCCTTTTCTTCTGGAAAATGACCTCATTTTTTGAGGTTCATGCAGACTCCAGGTACCTTGAACGATGAAGCCTTGGCCAACATGAATGTAACTCTTTGCAGGACGGCAACCAGTCAGCTGCATGAATTCCCAAGCAGCTTGTCAACATGTCCCCTTTTCCAACGGACCCTCCTATACGTTTTTTGGGGCACTCAAAGTCATCGGGTGACCGACTGAACGGACTCTAAAATGGGCTCCTTTCGGATGCCACACAGGAAAATAATTTGGAGCCCGTCAATCGCAACCCAGTTATCTAGCCGTACCTTCCCCATTCCTTTGGGGAGCCCTCTCTTCAAAAGATGGAACGATAGGAAAAGGTGTGGCTTCTCTATTGAGAAGGATTGGGTGAGGGAATGTGGAATCCACCCTTAGACTAATACCTCCCTTGAGGGTACCCTTTTTGGGGTTGGTTTTGGGGCTTCCATCAGGAACTCCGAACGGAAAAGTAGGCGTCGGCTTCTTTTCAGGAGCCGATTTGAAACCTGAGGACATGTCCTTCTCGGGGAACAAGGAGAAGGCCGGCCTGCGCATAAAGCACCCGTCTCAGCATGTGAACCTGTCCTGTTGAGGGTACCCCTTTGTTGGTGCTTTTACTGGAAAACCAAACGGAAAGCCGAAATCCATGTTGGGGTCAATTCCGGGGTCATCCAAAGCCTAGAAGAAGACGAGCCATGTGGGCGGGGAGGAGTCTGCCCAGTTCTGGCGGCTGTTGACACTTCGTCATACCTCATGCGTCGTGCACAAAGCGCTTCAAGTAAGATTGTCAATGTGAGTGCTGCGCGCTGCCATGTGGCTGTGGCTCAAAAAACCGGTACTAAAATGCAACCCTGGTAAGTGGAAACATGGACCAAAACCTGCGGTTTGCCATTCCTGATTAATTTTGAGCCACACCCATGTGTTGTTTTGCGCTCAATTGTGTCAAGGCTTGCCGACCCCCTCCGTGAGAGCGTGAGCTTGTGCCCGCCACGTTGTGGCCCCGGATTGATTCTGCGGGGCAGGTTGGTAGGACGACTACGCTTTGAGCGAAGGGCAGTGGAACATTTTTGAGAAACACCCATAGTTTTCCAACCACAAACCTGTCTTCTAGACAAAGAAACAGCCTTCGTGGTAGACTTGCCCTTGTTCAATTGGCATGCAGAGCATGATGACACCACATTTGCTCCGGCATGGACGTATCCGCTTGTACGTGTGTGCGTGCGGGCGCGCGTGCCGCTGTACGGATGCACGTACGGGCGTATGTACGGGCGCACGGGTGTGCGTGCGGGCGTACGTACGGGCGTGTGTGCAAGCGCGAGGGTTTGCATGCGGGTGTACGTACGGGCGTACGGGCGTGCGCGCAGGCGTGCGTACAGGCATGCATGCGTACAGGCGTGCAGGCGTACGCACATCCGTCCGCGCGCAAAATGAGGCCTTATTTAAGGAAAATAAGGTCATATTTTTCAACCCACAACCAGATTTTTCGAAGAAAAGAAAAGGCCCTATTTTTCTGTGCGCGCATCCGTCTGCCCACCCGCGTGTGCTTCCGCACACACACACACACACACACACGCACGCACGCACGCACGCACGCACGCACGCACGCACGCACGCACGGACGCGCGTCCGTGCACGCATGTCCGCACACACGTCCATACGCTGCCCGTGCGTCCGCGCGCGGGTCCGTACATACGTCCGTACGCACGTGCTTCCCGTCCGCACGGTAACTCGTACAGGTTTTGATGCATCATATATGAGCATGCGTATTAAATCTAGCCAATCTATGACAGCTCGCCTGTCGGAGTTTTTGGGGCTCCTTCTCTACTGCAAAGGCGTCGAGGTTGACATTGCGCCGCTACCAAAAAACAAGACCTCGATCCTCAATATTCCAACTTCAGCATGGGCGATTGCCCCCAAATTTTGGGGTGCTTTGTCGTTTGTGTGGGTAGTTTGAGGGTCCAAGCACTTCCATTTGCGTGGTTGTCTCCTGGAAAAATGAGGGCAAATATGTCCAGTGGTGGATTCCCCCTAAAACCAACCCGGGGAAATTATACTCTGAAGCAAACAAAACGGGTTGCCTATGAGTAAATGCAATCCTCTTTAGCAAAAAGGTCAAGGATGGGACCCAACTACTCAGGGCTGCCTTTGAAGGCCCCTTTTCGCCTTCGTCTAAAAAGGGAACTCACCGCAAAACAGGACATTTCTGTTGGGATATCACACGATTCTGACACCTATACCCCCAAACATGGCGTGCTTTCAATCAGGCACACTCACCAACATTTGCGGGCCGCTGCGGGCTTCTCGACCTTTTTCTGGTTTTGAAGGGCTACTTGAGAGTGTGGCCATCCTTTGAAGGGGGCAACATATTCTTCTACTTGCTTAAGCCCCCTGGGGAAAAAAAAACAGTAGTCATAGGTGTCCCTTTAAAACCAACAGGGGGAAAAAAAGCATTCTCACACAAATTGGAGGGTTTGTCCTCAAACAGGGCAGAAGTCAAAGTCCACGAGCAAGCGGAATGGATTGCCCGTGGCCGGCAGGTTCACAAACCCAAAGGCCATTGGTAGAATTGTGGTAAAATCGCTCCCCGGGTTGGGTTCCTTATCTAGGTCCTTCAGTAGAGAGGTTAGAATAAGTTGGTACCAACTTTTTTCAGGACGTCTATTTTAGTAGACGAAAACGCCCCCAACCAAAACAGGGGTTAAAAAGGGCACCTAGCCGGGGGACCTAGTTGTGTTTCGACGAAGCTGGGCGTCCATATTCATTCGGGGAATGGACCCCCGTCTGTTGTGTGCCTCCCGTTCACTTGCAAAGGAGTTTTGGGCCCCTAACCCCTTTTTGGGCCAACGGGTGCCAGAGACACCAACGGGAAACCGCCATCTTGGGGTTTGGGGGGTTCCCCGAGAACAAGAAAGGCACACCCAAGTTGGCTTGCAAAGTTCTTGGCTTCCGCAGAGGGAAACGAAAGTGAACCCTTGCCAATTGCTCATGGACCATTCGGGGGGGCTTTGGGGGCTATCCCTGCAGCCTAGGAGAAGCCCTTGATAAGGCCATACTGTGGATGGACAAAATCCTGGACAACGTAGCTAAGAAAACCCAGAAAGATGTGTCTCTCGTAAATAGCAACAAACAATGGTTCGCCCTATTTTCAAAGTGGTGCAGGCTTCCGTCCATCCACCGTATTAAGGGGTGAATAAGGCATAGGCCCCCCCTCCCCCCCAGTTCATTAGACACAAATGTTCGCACCTGGGGCCCCGGGCAGCAAAAAGTCTAAGGCCTGTGTCTGGAAAGCCTCCGAAAAAGAAAAAAACAACTCGCCGCGAGTGGATTGGTCTTGAAATCGCGTGATGGGACCCCCTTAGCCCGGGCTCTGGAAAAAATAGAAAGTGTTCTGGGCTGTCCTCAACCCCCCCCGGCTCACTCTCAAAATAGAACATTGGGAGAAGACCGCAGAGAGCTTCGCGGTTTCCTTCTAGCCTGACAAAAGGTTGCTTCCCCTTTTTCCATACCCGGAATGACCAAAAGAGGGGTCTCTCGTTTGTTTGTTTGTTTGTTTGTTTGTTTGTTTGTTTGTTTGTTTGTTTGTTTGTTTGTTTGTGTGTGACCAATCTTTATGACCGGGCTTGGCGTGGGAACACCGTCACAAAGGAGTCATGACTGCCTTGGAGGAGCCAACAGTGTTTTGGTCTTTAAGTTCACAGAGCAACTGAGTGATATTTGCACAGATTGTAATGAGCCTACCCAACCCCAACGAGCTCATTAAAAGATGAACTCACCTGGGATTCCTGCCAAGATGTGGTTCACTTGTTTGGAGCAAGTTGTCGCAGGTGAGTTGCAGCTGGAGGACATAGCTGTGGATAAAATTGGTGTCTGACAGCTGAGCGTCAGCATCGTCTTTTTCTTTTGACGTTCAACTTGAAAGTATTGGGGAGAGGGAAGACATTATTCAAAAACATGGTGTCACTTGTGCGCTCCTCGCATCAGCAAACCGTGAAAGAAACAAGCCGTGGAAGGAAGCGAAAGCAAGCGATGAGTGCACCGCGTTTTTACTTCCGCGCTTGCGCCACGGAAGGAACTTTTAGGCGGAAGCGGATGAAGGGTCCAAGGAAGCTGGACAAAATGTAGAAACACATTTTTGGGTGTGGCTCAAAATTATACAGAGTCAGGGTTACGCAATTTTTAGTCTTTGGTTCCATTTACCAAGGGGCCATTTTGGGCCATTTTGGGTACCGGTTTTTTGAGCCAGAGCCATTTACTTGCTGCTTCTCAGGGAATGAGGGAATGACCCCTATGAACCGTCCCTGGTGATTTCCTGTAAGGGGACCAATGCCAGCAAGTTTAAAAGGAATACGGACAGGGGGTCTATCTATCGGCCCGGTTGGTAAAGGGAAACCCGACCAACCTTCTTGAAGCATTTTTCTGGGTAGACCGTGTTAATACCCTCACTTCCTGAGTTCATGAACTTTAAACTTTGTGGGAAGACCATTTTAGTGGTAAATATAAAGTTTGGACTTTTCTTGGGCCATCCACTCAGCCAGTGAGTACCGGGTTTTGAGTATGACTCATTGATCGCCAGGGAGATCTTCCGTGATTTTTTCAAGCAGACCATGGCAGCAGTCGCAGAGGGGAACCCCCCAGAGTCGTCCAAGAAAATCAAGCAGTTCGAACAAGGCGAAATGCAAAACAGGGGGTTGCAAACCAAGAGGCACGCAGGGGGTTAGCAAAGGTATCACTGCAATTCTAAAGTTGCAAATCAAGAAGAGCGATTGCTTTAACTGCCTGGGTTGTTGGAGATGAATCCTTATGCATCCTTGTGCCAAGATGGTGTTGGCTTCCCTTGTTGTGGTGGTTTTCCTCCGCATAAAGCGGACAAGAGTGCCGCATGGTTTGACCAAGCCAGCGTAAATGTTCATGTATCAAAACAGGAAAACAAACAACACAAACAAACAACACAAACAAGCAAACAAACAAACAAACAAACAAACAAACAACAAACACAAAGCAAATGAACGAACGAACGAACAAGCAATCAAACAACCAAACAATCAGACAACCAATCAATCAACCAACCAACGAACCAACCAACCCACCCGCCAACCAACAAACAGCCAACCAACCAACCAAATTTATTAAATCTGGATCATTTCACAAGTGTTCGGCAATTTGGACGCCCAAAACGTGTTGCGTTGCGCTTGGGATTGATTCGGCTCCAAGGGAGTGCCGCTGTGCCGCTGTGAGTCGACTTTCCGGAAACTGAATGATTGACCCTATGGAACATAACATAACTCACTCCTGCCCTCACTTCTTGAGTTGCTTGGCGAAAAAAAGGCCCAAAACATGCTGTTTTCCGCCAAAATGGTCTTCGCCCCAAAAAACATAAACTAGGTCCTCCAGTAGAGAGGCTAGAATAAGGGTACCCGTTTTTGCTGTAGTTTATTTTTTGGGAAGCCTCCTAACCAAAAAAGGGCACTACTGGGGGACCGGAACCGACTCCAGCAAAGTGCAGGTTTTGTTCAGCACGCGCCTGGTCCAGGCAGAACATGTTCACGCAGAAGACGTCCTGATGCAGCGGCTTGCCCTTTTCGGCGGTGCAAGGCGCTCGGAGTCGCTGAGTGGTTCCAACAGTATGGTTCAAACGTGGACCCAGAAAGAAGCCTTTGACCCTTGGACAGGTTTACTCATGAGTGTTATTGGTTTTCGAATGTGTTTAGACCCAGATTAACATGGAAACCAAACAAGCCTTACTCCAGGAGTTTCCTCAAATATATGTTTTTTGTTTTGTTTTTTGTTTTTTTCTGGGTCCTTCTGATCATCTGACTAAATGCTCTCCTGAGCCAGGGAGAACCTCTCATGCTTCCCAACCTTCGTTGCTAGTTTGATGCAACTCGAAAATAACCATAACACTGGGCTGTTTCTAAATCCCCTGCCAAAAGTCTAATTTTTAGTGGTTTACTGAAAACTGCAGCAAACAACACCAAGATGTGTGGCCTCTTGATATCACTATAGACACGTGAAACGTGATCTCTCCAAATACTCCACCGGACTGAGGCCCGTTCCAAGACATGAGCTCGAGCGGCCCCTTACGTTGGACACACCACCACATTGGATCCACCAGGCTATACAGTACGTGCTGGCAAACATGAGTATGAGTACTTATTGAATACAGGCATATACATATATATATACATATACATACACATATGTATGTATACACATACGTGTTCCCTCAATGTATCTAGATAAGAAATGATTATATAATATACGTATATAAATATATATGAAGCACAACTTGGGCCGTCCAGCATGCGCACGAGATTCAAAGCTTCATGTGCCCCCAACATGGCGCTTTCGCAACGTGTAGGCGGAGCTTTCGTTGAGCTCCTGCAACTTGTCCCTGCCTTTTTGGCAAGCTTCCATTTGCTTTTTCGCCCCCTTGAAAAAATACAAATACTTCCCGTAGTGATAGATTCCCTCTAAAAACAAACAGCGGAAAATAACACATATTCTTAAGCAAATGGATGCAAGATGCCTGCTTGCTAGGGGGCCACTCTGTCCGAGCCCAACAGTCTTTATGAAAATAGCACGAAGCTCACAGCCGGTTGTGGACCGGTTGTGAAGAAAGAAATGAGACGTCCCTTCAAACCCTTTCGCAGCCTGACAAAAAAAAATGAAAGCAAGGATCCGACACAAAGGCGAATTTCGAATGAAGGATGTTTTGAGAACGCTGCCAAGGCCTTTAAGCGTTGAGTCCCGATTCTCCTCACTTTTCGTCTCGCAATTCTCTGCGATTCACGTCAGGTTTGGACTCACCCCTTGTTTAATCATGATGTACCCACGATTGGCTTAATCCTCTCTTTTTGGTATCTTGTGCAACTCAGGTGCCCAAAAAGCAGAAATAAAGGCCAACCTTTCTGAACCTTGACTAAACATGGGAAAACCAAAAGGTCAAACGCTTGGCCTTGGGCAACTGAGACAAAAAACAACAACAACACCATGTGCTTGATCTTGACCCCAAGCATCTTAAGTGAAACCTCGCCAGAGAGGCAAAGCTCCAAGATGCTTTGCACTACCCCCAACTACTACCGGGACCCAGGCAAGAACGGGGTACCCTGTACATTTTTGCTCTATAGTGGTGTGTATTCCTGAGCGTACCCTTTCGGTTTCAAATGGAATCCACCAGGAAAACCGCCATTTTTGGCGGGTCTGCAACAAAACACACCCAGCCACATTGGCAATATATCTATATATACATATCGTCCATGTTTTATATCTGGCTCAGTCCCTGGGTCTGGTAATTATCTTCTCGCGTATCCACGCGGATCCGCCCTCGCCTTGGCGTGCGCCGGCATGTTGGCCAGCCAGGAGGGGGAGTTGGGATGGCTCACAAAGAGGCCCTCCTCTGACGCCAGGATCTGCCACGTCCGCGCGGACGGAAATGCGAGCGCGAGAGGTTTTTTTTGTTCCGATCGGGGAGGAGGGAATTGGAATCGGAACGAACCCGGCTTCCTACTGGTGAATCGGGTGAAACCATGAACCCATGGAATCAGAAATGGAATGAGGGAATCGGAATGAAGCCGATTTAAACCATCCAACTGAATTCCTTTATTTGGGAATCGGAATCCCTATGTTCATTCCATTTCTCATTCCCTACTGAGCACCAGCAAGAAATTGGCCGTGCGAGAAACAACAAAAAAGTAGTGCATATTTTACGATAAGCCTGGTTTATGGTAAGCACCTTTCTTCTTAGCCAGGGGTCCACGTCAATGCGCTTTGAACAAGAAAATTCTTGTGATCTTCAGGAGCCACCCCGACCCCCGGAACCATATTAATATACTTTCCCTTATCCAAAGGATGAGGCAAGACACGCTGCCCACATTTTCAGCAATCGCCCCTGTATTTCGTAAGGAACATGTACGTGAACGTGCCCCCGAATTACGGGTACTGCTGCATGTCATGTCTACCAAGTGAACCTGCATCTTGCTATGATTATTAAGCCTGAGTCCGCGTTGGACAACAACCAAGTCATGATATGGAAAGGTTTCATGTTGGACCCCAAACGGAGAGTACCCAATCCATTCATTACACAAGCCAGCAACATGACACCGACAACCACCTCGACAGTGGCGAGGGCAACAGCGATTGCGACTACGGCCGCGGCGACGATCGCACCTGCCAGCACCATCAACACTGCTGCAGAACAAGAACAAGACAAACGCTCAAACAATGAACGAGAACCTCACTTGCCCAAGGGACCTGGAAATACAAGGTTAACCTTTTGGGACCTCTTCTAGAAATGGACCGACAAGGGAAAACCAAAAGGTCAAAATGTCGGCTTTGAACACCCGAGGAACCAGAACACGAAGAAGAAACAGCAGCACCACAAGCAACACGACGAGCACTAGCAGTTACCTGCAACAGCAGCGGAACAGCACCGGCACCGGCAGCACCGGAACCGTCACTGGCGCCAGCACCGGCGGCAGCAACACCACTGGCAAAACCATGATCATCATAATCATCATGGTCATCATGAGCATCATGAGCATCATGAGCATGATCATCATCATCATCGTCATCAGCATCATCGGCATCGTCGTCATCATCATGATCATCAGCATCAGCATCAGCATCAGCATCATCATCATAATCATCATCATCATTTCATCAGCATCATCATCATCATCATCATCGTCATCATCATCATCATGATCATCATCATCATCATCACCATCATCCATCATCCATCATCCATCATCCATCATCCATCATCCATCATCATCATCCTCCTCCTCCTCATCCTCCTCCTCCGCATCATCATCATCATCATCATCATCATCATCATCATCATCATCGTCATCGTCGTCATCATTTCATCATCACCATCACCATCATCCATCATCCATCATCCATCATCCATCATCATCATCCTCCTCCTCATCCTCCTCCTCCTCCGCATCATCATCATCATAATCATCATCATCATTTCATCAGCATGAGCATGAGCATCAGCATCAGCATCAGCATCAGCATCAGCATCAGCATCAGCATCATCATCATCATCATCATCATCATCATCATCATCATCATCATCATCATCATCATCATCATCATCATCATCATCATCATCATCATCATCATCATTTCATCATCAGAATCAACAACAGCTACAACCACAACAAGGACAAGAACAAGATCACGAACAAGGAGAAACAAAACCACACGGACATGCAAAACAAGAAGAACAATAATACCCAGAAGAACAAGCAGAACAAAAACAAGAAGAACAATGGGAACAAGACAAACAAGAAGAACACAAATAACAATAACAAAAAGAACAGGAAGAGATACAAAAACAATAAGAACAAGAACAAGAGAACAAAGAACAATACCACAAAGAAGATTAATATGAATCATAATAACACACATAGTAGGAAAAACTAGAAAATGTAAGAATAATAAAAACAATCACAATAACAATAACAAGGACAAGGAGAACAAGACCAAAAGGACAACAAGACCAACAAGAACAAACATGAAACAAACAATAAGAACAGAAACAAAAATAACAATAACAAAAATAACAATAACGACAATAACAAGAAGAAACACAACAAAACACACAACAACAAGAACAAGAACACAGAACAAGAACAAGCCATCACCACCACCACCACCACACCACCACCACCACCACCACCACAACCACCAACAGAAACAGCAACAGCAACAGCAGCAGCAGCAACAACAACAATTATCTGCCTGCAGCATCGACAAAGCAAAGCGCCACACACAAGCCCGGGCCCCACGAGCCGTGTGCCTTCTCGAGCGCCTCCTGAGAGGGCTTTGGATCCGGACAATGGCTGCCGGTTCGCATGACAACCTTTCTAGGTCCTCCAGAGGTTAGAACAAGCTAGTACCAACTTTTTTCAGGACGTCTATTTTAGGGAACCCTCCCCTCAAAAAAGGGTAAAAGAGCACTACTGGGGGACCTAGTCTTGTTTGCTGGTGCCCAGCAGGGAATGCGGGAATGAACCCAGGAATTGGTCCCCTTAGAGGGAAACCACAATGGCAGCCTTTGGGCGCGCATCTTTTGAGTGCCGGTCCTTCCGGTTCAGGGTGGCTTGAAGGGAAGCCAAGTGGAACGCCGAACTTCCAGGGTCTGACCCGAGTGGCCGAGTGGCCAGAGAAACGTCCCGTTGGCCAAACATCTGGTACCTTTGCTTTGAGGGTACCCATTTTGGGGTTTCTTTACAGGGTAATCAAAAGGAAATCCACAACTTTGGGCTCCCCCACCCCGCATATGAAGATGCATGATGCGAGGACACTTCATTCTATTTGAGCTCCAGGTCCTCCAGTAGAGAGGTTAGAATAAGGGTACCAACTTTTTTCTGTAGTCTATGTTGGTAGGGGAACCCTGGCCCAAAAGGTAAAAGGGCACCTGGCACCTAGCCGGGGGGGCCTAGGCTCAGTTTACCCTGCTTGTTTCGGCAAGTTTGGTATTCTGGGGCTGTGCCTCAAAAGAGCCCGGCTGGCGCATGCCTCAACTCCTGGGTTTCAAACACCTGGTCACAGAGCATTTTGGCAGAGCAAAAACAAGTGAGTGCCACAACTCCTTGGGTCCTACCAGCGTGTTTGTAAAGATCAAGATTCATAGCCTTCCAACATGGCCAACTCCTTTGTGTCTTGGGATGCACTAGTGTAAGCCTAAAGCAACGATCCGTGTCTCTGGGACGGGCTGGGATCCATTTACACAAAGGACTAGCAGAATCCGCGTGAACATGCCGGGTGTTCTATCACAATGTACCTGTTCTTTCGGTTTCTGGGCATACCCGTGTTTTCCATTCAGCTCTCGGTTTAGGTCATTCACTTCGCAGCTTTTGGCGCTTTTGCTGGTGCAAGTGTTGTGCCTAAAACTAATTTGTTGGTGTTGAATCAAAGGCCGAGCTCAAGTTCTTTGTGTAGTACGTATTGACTCCAATGCACCGGCCAACCTTATGTAAGGCGATATTTCAGCCATATACCCTTCCTCCCACCAACATAGCCCCGTGGTGAGGTACCTGGAAGATCATTTGGAGGACCCACTGTCAGGTGCCATGTTCGTGGCAGCAAGGGTAAGGCTCTCTCCATGTACGTAGATGCAGGGTTGGGACCAACAAGGCTACATCGTTCACTGGAGTACACGGCAACAGTGCGGCTCAAGGAACGCCAAGTTGCATCGGTAATACTCCCCTTGTGTTTGGAAGTAACAAGGACAACTAACACCTAATATAATGGGGTATGTCGCATCTTTGCGTGTGTCTTCCCCTTTGCGTGTGTTCCCAAGATGGTGTTCCGTGTGGTTTCCGTTTGGTTTCCCAGAAGAACACAAACCCACAACATACCAAGCTCAGTATTTTGCACCATTCCTTCTCACTGGTGCAACCTAGGTGCTCGGTATCCATCATCCGGCAGAATCGCTAAGGGGCTGCTGATGTCCACATCACCCCACCTGAGTCAACCCACAGTTGCACCCAGTGAACGGTACAAAATGGGGTGCCTTGCTGGGGGGTTGCCTCTTTTGAGTAGGTAGGAAACACAAAGCAAGGGGAAACACGTGTGCAGAGGGGCACGTTGCTTTAAGTCTCGTTCCTTTTTGGGGGAGGGGGGTGTTCCTGCTTGGTGAGTGCGAGAAATACACTCGAAAACTCGTGACCAACAGTATTTGTTCCTGCATCTCGTGAAGACCCACGATTACCCCGTCTAACGAGCAACATCAAGGACACATGGTGCACACCACACTCCTGAGTAACGCTCTTCCGTCCTTTTTGATTCCTGGCAAGGGTGGGTTCAATAAAGTTGCGACGTCAAGTCCCGTGCCCCCCCCAAACAAAAATGCAGGTGTTGTCGAAAGTCTGGTAGTACGGAAGATGAGAAAAAAAAGGAAGACATGAGGGTGTGGTTGAAGGCCTGGTAGGACAAAAAAACGAGGCTGCCCAAAACCTATGTTGGACTATGAGAAAACCTTGAATCCTTTACACCCATGTTTCTGTATGTCTCCAAAAAGCCTGCTTTTGGGTTCATGTTAACTGGAAACCTAAAGGAAATCCAGTCACTTGAGTTTTATTTTTGAGAAACACATTTTCGCTTGTTTTGGCATCCTTGTGACACACTTATGATATTTGTCTCTTCAATGACAAGCGATGCCCACGTTCGCTTTGGGTTGCCTTTTTCAAAACACGCAAATGGACTTTTGGGTTGCCTTTTCAAGAGGATGGTAGTCGTCCAAAACCCGCCTGTCCACTTCCAAAATTGTCTGACAGAACTTGAAACATTTGCGGGCTTCGCAAACAGTGTTACCCTAAAATGGTTGGTGTGCTTGTGGGTTCCCTTTTAATGGTTTCCTCGTGATTTCCCTTTAATTGGCAACAGCATTTGATAGGGAGCCACCTTCAAAGTGCTTGACATGCATCCCCGAGATGCAGAGCACGGGCAGTATCTTGCAAGAACATGCTGCGGTCATGTCCCAAAAACTTGTCCCCAAGGCCTGTGCGTACGTAGCCTTCTGGGCCTGAGCCACATTTAAGTAACAGTATAATATTCTCTATTCACCCGAATGATTCCCCGAAAAACTTTAAAAACATGGGCCCGCGCCTGCAAAGACTCCACCAGCGCTCGCTGCACTTCGGCAGCTTCATCAACCGGTAGCTGCATGCTCGCGGCCGCTCGTTGCCGGCGATGCTCCTCTGCAAGCTTGATGTCCTCCGCGTCCGACATCTGCTGCAAGCTCTCCCCCTCCCAGCCTTTCACCAGGAGTGCCCTCCTCAAGTTCTTAGCACGCTTGGCTGGTCTGGTACGAGGCCGGTCTGGCACTGCTCCTCCGACCTGACCTTGGAGGTCATGGAGGCCTTCAAGTCGGATCCCTCCGGAACCCAGTCAGCCCCGTGACGCCGTTTCTGGCGGCCGAAAAAAGCAAATACCTTCTGTAAAACTGGAACAAAGCTGCTACACAAATACAAGCTCTGAATTCTACAAACCACGCACATAACAACACATACTTCGCTCAAAAACACAAAACATGAAAGGGTCAGCGCGCACGCGTACCTTTGTTTGCTCAGCTCAGGATCACTGCCCCAAGCCACCCCTTTTCACCTATTAGAGACCCCAAATCGCTTTCAGCTGCTGAGGAATCAAACAAACCATCATCCCCGTTCGGCCTCCCAGAAAACAATTCAACACCAGGTGGGTGTTTTTGCTCTTTGTTGAGTTCTTCCCCCCCCCCCCCAACAATTAACAAACATCTGGGTGTTCTTTGTTTTTGTCAAGTTCTTCCCACCCTCCGCTTGTTCCTTTTTAATTATTATTAAGGGGAAACCAACACCAAAACCCGCCCATTTGGAGATTCTGGGGCGGAATTGCCTTCCAACCGTTTTCGGGCTACCCTGGCACCTGTACCTGCCCGGCCGGGTCGAATGTTCCGGCGGTTCCTCCTTGGAAATTCGGAGAGGGTGCGCAGAAGGGTATTTTTTCACAGGGGGTTACCCTCCCACCCATTAACATAGAACCTGACAGGCGCCCTTTTAAAAGGACAATTGTCTTCCCGAACGTCAGGTTCCATGCTAATTTGTAGCAGTCAACCTAGCGAAGAAATGGCTCTTCCCCAGTCGCGTTCAAGTCAACCAGGTTCCGGAAGTCCCTGCCACAAGCGTATGTACCCGGGATGAAGGATATGATATGCAGCAAAATTATTGGGGCGGGGGGGGGGGGTTGTCTCCAAAAAGGTGTGGTTAAAGCAACTGATTGAAGCGATTTAACACCAAGAGGGGGGGTTCCCCCACAAGGCGCACCCTGGTTGTTTGGCTTTGCCCGAGCCCTTGGTTGACGTTGGAAGGGGAGCAAAAAATCAAATTTTAGCAGTTAAGTGGTGATTTCCCACTAAACCACAATAAGCAAAAATGTAAAATGTTTCCCAACAGCAACCATGAGCCTGCGTGGCTGTGAGGAACCACGAGTACCAAGCCCTGGGCATGTCCGTCGGCGCGACCCGCTCGGCCCGATCTGAGCCCAGCACCAATGGAGAGTAATCAGCAGCTTGGCTAAGAAGTCCTGGAGAAAATTATCGCAAAACTTGGGATCCAAACGTGCACTGCCCTCGGAAGGATGGATACAAAACACAAAAATATTAACATGGAAAACTTGCCCCCCCCCCCAAAAAAAAAAAGAAAAGAAAAGAAAAAGACAACAAGACAAAACTGGGGCTCCGGACCTCCACTTCCCTTCCAAACGAGGTTTTAAAAAAAATGTGACCCTCCTCGCCGCCAGCCTCGTGATTTTGGATCCGGATGTCAGATGACTCGTGACCCGACTGTGGCCTTTGCTCCCCCGAGTGTTTTAGCTTTTCCAGGTCCAGCTAGGTGCCCGCTCTCTTTCTCACCGTTTCTTTTTTTGGTGGGGAGGGTTTGGGTTTTCCCCTAAAATAGACCAAAGAGAGCAAAAAGTGGGCACCAACTTCCAAAGCGCTCTCAAATCTGGAGGACCTACTGTGGATCGTTGCGAAATCCGAGACCGCACCACTTTAATTCCATGGTTGAAACCACAAGGTTTGTTGGTATTTACGTTGGGGCATCGAATCATTCTATGGCTTCTCAGGTGATGCGAGATGGATTTCGCAACCATCCACAGTAGTGACTCTGACCAAAAGGAAGCTGTGAGTCACAATCAAAACCGATGGGTACTGGGCGCCCGTGTTCTGATCCCCCGCGAAAAGTGAGTCTAACTTTTAGTGGGTTAAATTCGGAAACCACGTTAACACTACCAAGCTACAAGGCTGAGGAACCAAGTGAGTCTAACTTTCAGTGGGTTAAATTCGGAAACTACCACTAAACTCGGTTGCTTTCTGCTCCCCTGCTAAAAGTTTAACGTTTAGTGTTTTAGTGGAAAACCCATTAGTTGGCAAAAAGTTAAAGTCCTAACAGCCGTTGGCAAAATGCACCAAAGTTTTAGCGGGTTAAATTCGGAAACCACGTTAACACTACCAAGCTACAAGGCTAAGGAACCAAGTGAGTCTAACTTTCAGTGGGTTAAATTCGGAAACTACCACTAAACTCGGTTGCTTTCTGCTCCGCTGCTAAAAGTTTAACTTTTAGTGTTTTAGTGGAAAACCCACTAGTTGGCAAAAAGTTAAAGTCCTAACAGCCAAGCAAAATGCACCAAAGTTTTAGTGGGTTAAATTCGGAAACCACTAAACACTACCAAGCTACAAGGCTAAGGAACCGGATGGCTGGGAGCCAAGATTAGAAAAATGGCCTAAACAAATCTAAAGAACCCAGGCCGACGCCCCAAACCAAGGCCGCGGCATGGTCCCTTACCCTCCAATTAACCGAATTGTGATTGTGACTCAGATGGATCCAACCCCCCGCAAACAGCTTGCATTTGGCCGGTTCAAACAGAAAATGAAAGAAACCCAATACCAAAAAGGTCAGTTCAGGCTAGCAATGAAAACATGTGCGAGCAAGCATCCGAGCAATGGTTGGCTTTGTGCGGGCTACACGAATAAACAAACTAAAAATGTGTATATAAAGCAAACACGCAAAGTCATGTTTAAAACAAATGAAAACATAGAACCATGAATGCATAAATGAACAAATGTGTAAACAAATAATGAACGAATGAACAAAACATGAATGAACGAACAAATGAAATGGAATGGAATGAATGAAATGGAACGGAATAGAATGGAATGGAATAGAATGGAAGGATGAATGGATGAACGTACGAATGAATGAACGAATGAACGAACGAACGAATGAGCTTGTCGTACAATGTCTGCAAGTTAGGGCTACCACGTTTTAGGACTCACCTACACACAAGGGCTTTTTCATGCAAGTCTTGCCAGGTCGAACAGTCATCCATCTGTGTCTTGGCGATGGGAGGCGGACTGATGTTGCCGCGGCCTTCTCCACTTGAAAGCTTCTTTTCCAGCGTCAAATGATCGGGCAAAACAAGTGGTACACTCTCACTTGCCCAGTTCGGACCTGCAAATACAAGGTGATCACCTTTTGGGTTGCCTTTACTAAAAATGGACCAACATGGGAAAACCAAAAGGTCAAAAGGTCGATTCGCTTTTTGGGCAAGTGTACACTTGTTGGTCACCAGTAAAGGGGAAGCCACCAGAAAGAAAGGGCCAAGTGTGTCTGGCAGGGTGACTTTTTCTCTAAACAAGTGGCAAGTGGGGAGCAACGGGACAAGGGGCTGGGGCGCGTAAACGCTGAGGGTGGCCTTTTCGCCTGGGGTTACGATGGACCTTTCAGGAACACATCCCAAGTTTTTGGGGGACACCCTAGTTTTGACACGTACCGTAGAGAAACTCAACCCAGGAAGACGATGGAGGGAGTCTGAGCAAAAACCCCACCCGGAAAAAAGAGAGGAACATCCGTGGCGCGAAACAACACCTTTCTGAATCCGGGGGTGCCGCCGAAAATTAGGACCCTCTTGTTGGTTGTGTTTCGAAAGGAAGCCAGAAGCTGGCCCCATTACACATCATCCACCCAACGAAAACTCAATTGACCATGACAAACCAACTGGCGATGCTTCAATCACCGAGAAAAGGAACGAAGGGCATTGAGGTATGAATCTGGATTGCGGACCCTTTGGTGGACCTGCATGGTTGTGCCACAGGCAAATCATAGACAACAGGATCGTTTGACCGCACTACTTTTAGGTGTATCCCACACTCCACCAACAACAATGGCTTGCGTCTTGTGGCGTGCCTTGCAACACCCAACATTTTGAAAAACATCCTCTCGGTTTCACTTTAAGGGGGGCCAGATTGAGCAAGCTTCAACCCTCAATCCTCGGCTTCCCCTCAGTTGGTGGTTTGGAGCCGGGTGGTTGGGTGGTTAGGCGGTTTTCCATTTACCCTCGACAAGCAGGGGCGAACAAATCCAAATCCGCTAATCCAAGTCACCCATTAAGTACCTGAAACTCTAAGCCTGGGAGTACAGTTGTTGTTCCTTCTTTGCAAAGGGCAAGAAATGCGCGAAAGTTGCCGGAGTTTGACTGAAGCAAGCACGGGGTTGTCTCTCTAAATAGGTTGAGCCGCCTCAACTTCAAATGGGGGCCGGGGGTCCCCGTGAAACTCCCTTCAACTCACTTCCGTGGACTGGCCAAAGTCAAAACTTTTATATAAACCACCAAAAGGGTCCAGACCCAAACAGGGACTCAGTCCGAGACGGAACGAGAGTCCGTGAGGTGACTTCAACGGGGGCTATCCCCAGAAGCCGCAACTCCATCCCGCCCGCCTGGGTGAAGGGGCCCTGCTCTTCCAGGGTGAGGGCCTTGAAGAAGACCTCAATCGAACAGCCACCAGTCAATGAAGCACGGGGGGGGTTGACTCCACAAATGGGTTGGGTTGGGGGGTGTGACTTTTTCAAGGGTGCTGGTGCTAGTTGTGGCATCCATTCAGCTCTCGCTTGCTATCTGCCCCATCAACAAGAGGAACAACAGACTGGCGAATCTTTAAAAGCTTCCAAACAGTCCCCTCTCAAACATGACATCCCTGCATATAAATCCACTAGATCCGCTTGGAACGTCTTTCACCGAATCGCTTTGCTCCCACATAAGCAGCGCCCAAAACCCATTGACAGCTGGTTCAATTGAATAGTCATAAAGATTTATACAGGCTATATATGTATATTGTTTAAGGCCCCGCAAAACCTTCCAAACGACAATGGTCCTATCGGGGGTGTTAGCAACCCCAACCACCGGTTCGGCATCCCCAAACCCATGGCCATGGGGGAAATGTCACAATCAAAACCCGAAATTTAAACTGGTCGTAATCCCAGAACCATGCTTCAAGAATTAAGGCGGATCTCCGCAACTATGTCTGGCGACTGCCCCTTACTCACCTTCATCTACCCAGGTTTTGATTGCACCGGTCTTCTTTCGTGGTTGAATCAAAAGGGACATCCCCTCCCCCAGGAGAAAAAACAACTTTGACCGCTTCCACTGGCGTTTTTGTGCAAGAAGGAACAAAAAAAACATGTCCAGTAGTGATAGAATTCCTTCAAAACCAACCGGCGTTTAGCAAACAAATGTCTTGAGCACATGGAAGGGTTCGGAGACTTTGTGCTTGTTTCCTGTTGGTTTCTAAACAAGGGAAAACAAGACATATTCAGTGCAGAGGGTTTAAACAAACAAACAAAAACATATATTCATTTCCAGGGGCCGATCAATAATCCGTTCGGCCCCCAAATGACCATGGGCAACTTTGCCCATGAATGTGGGAAATATCATCGTACTCAGATGCCCTGCTAAATGTTTCACTTTCAGTGGGTTAAATTCGGACACCCGAAACAGATCTAAAGCACCCAGGAACCGGACGCCCATCGGCTTCGGGTTGGTTTAGGGTTGGTTTAGGGTCAGTCGGTGTTTAGGGTCGGTTTGGGGTCGGTTTGGGGTTGGTTTGGGGTGTTTTGGCTTGAACCAAGCAATGGTCCTCCCACCTTCATCGCGCCTTTTTAACCGGCAAGGCCGGAGGTCAGATCAGGGCTCCCAGCTGTAGTCTCCACGGTCATGGGATCTGCCTCGAGCCTTGCGAGGGCTCGTTTGTTTGTTTTCATCTTCGGTACCTGGACCCTCAAACGACCCTTAGCCCCCGGGAAAAATAAACATGCCGGCCTGGGTCTTCCTAAGTCCGTTTTTTCTGCCTTCCGCGGAAAACTGCTTTTTCAGGGAAGGTCATCATATGTTTGCCTTGGCAAACGACTACAATTTCTGTAGCTACGGCAAAAAGAGCAAATTATGGTATGTCCAATTGTGATGGATAGACTCCCTTTAAGACCAACAGGGGAAAACCCAACCTATTCTTAAGCACATTTTACAGGGACTTGACCCCATCATTTCGGAGCAATCATGCGCATGTTTGTATAACGGCATTTTGAGGGTCCAGGTACCCTTTTTTTGGCGGCTTTAAAGGGAAGCCGAAAAGGAAACCGTCAACATCCTGACAGGCCAAAGCTCTGTGTTGTGGGGTTTTTGACCCATTGAGCACTTTCAGGTCCTCCAGAGAGGTTAGAAGAAGCTTGTACCATTTTTTTCTGTGGTCTAGTTTAGTAGACGAAAACCCTCCCAAAAAAAGGGGTGTAGGGGGGACCTAGACTTGTAGGAAAATTGTCTCTGAGTGTAAGCCCAGACCGATTCCCGAAGCGAGGGTGGCCTGGTTTGTGGTAGAGGGAAACCCCTTGTCTTGCTGGACAACGGAGGGGGCTTTTTCACTCATAGGTGTCCTTTTAGGGCAAATAGATGGCCCTGGTAGATGATTAAATCACCAGGTCAACCAGGGCCATCTATTTTTCGACCAAAACAACCAAAAAGGACATCTATGCTCAAGAGGCTTCTTTTCCCGAGGCGAAAAGAAGACTTTGGGGGTGGAGTACTTTGTTTGACTCAATTGACCTGGCTCGATTTGCAGGGGAATGAGAAATGAAATGACCCCGAGACAAACCAATCCCAAATTCAGTTCATTCCCCAAACCCACAATCAAGCCGTCACTCCCTATCGCACCAATAAGTTTGGGCTGGGGAAATCTCAGGAAACGGTCCCTTCGCGACTTGGGGCCGCTGGATTTGGATTTCGATGCCGGTTCTTGACCAGGTCCTCCAGCGGGGAGGAAGAATAAGGGTACCAACTTGGTTGGTCCATTTTAGTAGGCTTACCCCTTAAAACTCCAAGCCCTGGGGAAGTTAATCTTTTACAGACATATAGCCCATGTTACCCAAAAAGTTGAAAAGTTGTGTTTTTAAGAGGTAAGTAGGGGAACCCTCCCCAGAAAAGGGGGTGAGAAAGGGGACCTGGGGAAAACCACCCCCGGAAGAGCTCCACCAATCCAAACCAACTGGGGAGCCGAAGGCAGGAACTATGGTGGAATGATGTCCTTCCAACTTCCAAAGAGAGATATGGCCATGGGTCAAAATCCAAAATCGTACCCCCAGCGAACATCTCAATCCCCACTGAAATAGACTAAAATGGGTAGTGCCATTGGCTTTGACCCACAGCCTTATGAGTGTGGCTCAAAAAAAATAAACAAATGGGGCCAACTGCAGGTTTGAGTCTTTGGTTCCATTTGCCGCCAAGGTGCCATTTTGGTGCATTTGTTTGACCCACCGCCACGTCCCAGTGGTTAGTGGTTCAGTGATTGGTGAGCCACAAGGGAAAGGGGGTGAACCAAAACTTGGCACGCTGGGGTACACTAAGATTGCTGCCTAGATAAACTCACCGGCTGAGTGCAAACTTTTTGTTTACCACTAAAATGGTCCAAACCCAAAAAGTTTAAAGTTCATGAACTCAGGAGGTGAGTAAAGAAAAGAGTTTGGCGCAGACCCGTGGTTGACATGGAATCGCCTCCCACGAATCTGTGCTGCAAGGGGCCGAACCCCAAAGGCCCAAAGACTTACCACCAAGAGGGATTCCCAAAAGTATCACAGTAGTTGGATAACTCGAGTGATCAACCACAACCCTGGGTTGGAGGAGACCCCAGTGCAGTAAAACAGGTTGCTTAAAGGGGCATTGTACTGAGTAAGTGGATGACAACCATGGTTACAACCCACTGAACGGAGACTTAGAACCGTGGTAAGTTGGCCAGGACCATGGTTATTACCCACTTACCTGACGTACAATGCCCCTTTAAGTGGGGGTTGGGGAGTTGGGTCTCGCAACCCTTGGCATCCCTGCAGAGCGCCGAGGTCGTCATCACCCTCCTCACGCTCCTACGAGATGCATCAGGATCGGCTTTTGTTTGGTTGCCCCAGCGGGAGCCCCGGACGAACCGCTGTGGATGAGTTTGAAGGTGCCTCTTTTAGTAGGTCTTAGACCTTTAACTGACCGTGGCATTTTTGACATTTTTTGCCTGCAGCATTGGCCCGCGGCTGTGTTCCGCAAGCATGAGGTTCATATGTGTGAAAACAAAACAGCAGAGGCCTGAATCGGGGGTGCGGTGCTTGGTTGGTGAACAGAACTGCCCCCCCCCCCAACCCGCCCCCCCGCCCAAAAGAGAAATGTCTCGAGAGTGAATAAACGTGTTTTGATTGGCGGTCGATTAAGGGTCTCTCACCTCTTAGCAGGCTTCATCACTTTTGGAAGGAACACCCGACTATTATATAATATTATGAGGTTCTTAAGGGGGGGGGGTAAAAGGGGGGGGGGTAAATTGAGGTGGACTAGGGAGCCCTAGGCCCAGGGTTCAAATCCTGAATCTGGCTCAACCCTCATCCCGTTTGCCCCGCCCACTAGTCTCTTGGCAAAAAGCACTCCGTTCTTTGCTTGTCTGTTACGCAACGCAAGTTAAGCCGATTTTTGTGCGATTTCTATTCTCGAGGCTTCCCCGGGCTTCCCTAAGGCTCCCTAAGCTTCCCCAAGGCTCCCTAAGCTTCCCCAAGCACTCCCTAAGCCTCCCAATAATTTTCAGAGTTTCCCCAAGCTTCCCTTGCCCTCCCCTTTCAATCTGCATTCTTGCTGAATTCTGGGTTGGCCAGCGCTCGCAGCTGAGGGGGTAAAGCCATCGTTTATCCCAACCCAACCTAGCCACAATCAAAGCGGAAGCGCAGGAGCTTAAGGGAGCCTGTGAGGATCTTTTGGGGGCCTTTAGGGGTTTTTGGGGAGGAAACCACCAACTCACTTCCTGAGTGGATTGGCCAAACAAGTCCCCATGTTCTTGGGTTAGCACTAACATGGTCTTATCAAAAAGAGCAAAGATGAAAGTGCAGGAACTCGGGGTGTGTGGCAAACTGTGGTTCTAGCCAAAAAGAACAACCTCACTTCAGTAGGCAACATCTGGTATGAAAAGGTGCAACTACCGTGTCCAGTAAAGCGCTGTTTGCAACAAACACCTCCCAGGCATAGGTGTCCTTTTAGGGGAAATAGATGGCCCTGGTAGATGATTAAACCACCAGGTAAACCAGGAATCGCCATCTATTTTTAGACCAACACAACCAAAAAGGACACCTATGCTCCCAGGACTTGTTTGTCACAACAAACACCTCTCAAGCCCGTGCATGAGTTTCAATGAACTGGCAGAGGCCTTTCAACCCATGATTGGGTCTCAAAGCTGCAAGCTGTTTTGCAAGCCCCAAGCCGTTTTTGCTCGGTGGTGGCAGATCCAATCCAATAGATCCGACCGAGTTTTTAAGGCAAGGAAATAGCAGCCAAGTAAGTCTGTATTCTTGTCCACCCATTCGACAAAAATAGTCAAACAACCATGCAATAGGTTGAGTGCCTCCAAAAAATGCGGGTGCGGCAGTGTTTTTTTTTTTTTTTTTTTAACCTTTGCTCTCACCATCATCCACAAAAGTCAAGCCCCGCCTCTTTTGAGGCCGGTTCGGTGTCGTGATCTGTGCTTTTAAAGAAGGGCCCCAACAGAGTGCGTCAACCCCAGGGTGGGTTGGGGGGTTGGCGGGTTGGCGGGTTGGCGGGTTGCGGGGTTGGGGGGTTGGGGGGTTGGGGAGTTGGGGAGTTGGGGGGTTGGTCCCCCTCCCGCACAACAAAACAAACACATAGGCGCGTGAGTAGACTCGCATTGAGTGAACCCAAAAACCAGCCAGAGCGGCGTCTGTTCAGAAATCGGCCGCCGGCTGGTGTTGGGGGAGAAAGAAAAATCTGCCGCCGGCCGCCCGCGCCGTTTTTCTCTTTCTCCGCGCCAGATGGATCTCCTCCGAGCACCCGAAACCCCGAAACCCCTCCGCCGGAAAGTGGCTTCCCAAGGGGTCTCGGTTGGGGGCTGAGGGAGGGGAGGGTTTAGAAGGGAGCAACCACATATTTCCTAAGAAGAGGCCTTAAGGGCTGAATCAGGGCTTAATCTGGGCTCAACCTGCCCCTCTTCTCCCTCCCCCAGCGCCTATGATGTTTGGTGTGCTTTTTGCTTGGGACTAAGTCACTCTGGCTGGTCATGGTTCCCTGAATAGGAATCATTGTACACCTCTCGCGTTCGCATCGGTTCATGTAATAGAAATCATGATGGTGATAAAGGATCCTACTACGATGTGGATCAACCCCTGTTAACCCCAAGTATAGGGTCTTTTGACCACCGCGCAAATGGTATCCCCAACCCCTCTGCAAACAGTTGTTCACTTTTTGTGGGTCCAACTCAGAAAATCCACATGTTTAAACCCAAAAAGCCAACAAGTCCAAAGATCCGTTACCAAGTAGAAGTGGCTGCCTCTGGGTCTGTTTGGTGTCCTTTCTGTTCAAAGACAAATGACGGTAGACTATGAAACCACCATGTCGACCAGGAATTGCCATCGATTTGCAACCAAAGCCATCCTATGCTGGGTCTGCTTGGGGCAAGGCCAAGCGGCGGGTCAAAATCAAGAGTATTTAAAGACCATTGAGGGCCGCTTGCTATGAGCCTAAATCATTTGATCATGACTTCATTTGGAATTTGGTTTTAGAATGCAGAACCCCGTTCTACTCCCCAGATCATTCGTGGATCCAAGAAACAATTCCACCCATACCCGAAACTCCCTAGGTCCTCCAGTAGAGAGGTTAGAATAAGGGCACCAACTTTTTTTCTGCAGTCTATTTTAGCAGGGAAACCCTCCCAACCAAAAAAGTTGGCAAAAGGGCACTACTGGACCCAGAAGCCATCCCAGAGGCCCATTCTCGGACACTTGCGGCCCGCCAAACCCTTCGAAACCCAGCCTGAGCCATAGATGGCCTCGTGGATATCTGCCTGCGTCGCAGATTCGCAGATTGACCTACCCTCCCTCCAATCATGGAAGTTGACAGGAGAGCTTTGGAAGACTATTTTCCTTTTGGGGAACCCCTTTGTGCACTTCCATGATTGTTGGAAAGAGGGTACTTCAGTTTTCTTGAAGCCCAGTTGTTAAACTCAGCTTCCCTCCACCTGGACCCTCAAACAATTTGGGTCATTGTCCCAAAAATAAGCAGTGCATCTCCTTTTTGTTCAAGGGTAGTGTGAGGAGTCCAGGGACTCACTTGCCCCAAAAAGGGACCTGGACCAAGGTGATCGATCACCTTTTGGGTTCGCTGAAAATGGGTGTTTCTCAAAATTAGATTCGGACCCCTCCAGGTAGTTGTTGGACTTGGGTGTCGGATTTTGAGCCTCGGTACCAATTGCTTGGTGGCTCCACAGAAAACCAAAAGGAAACCATCATCTGGGGGTCCCCTAGAAAAACACACACCCATTTACCCTCAAGAACCACAAATCCAAATCCGAACCAATCCAAACCCATGAGGGAGCCTGAAGTGTTCAAGGCGTTTGACCACT